TTCATTTCAAGCACCCATCGGGCACCTCTGCAATAACACAAGGTTCGGGTTATGCATTTAGCAGTTTATTGGCACCAGCCTGAACCTACATGGGGCAGCAAACATTGTCAGATTGCCACTCTGCTCCATTTTATTCTGCAATTACAATAGAGATCCACATTACTCATTGGAACTTTCAAACTCTATCTCTTCTGAAACATGGGATATTATTCAATTCAGAGTCCTTCCTCAGTGCTAGTTCATTGGAGAAGGGCATACCATGCCACTGTTAAAAGTATAGCCATATACTGGTAAGTTTATTAACTAATACAGTGCAAAGCTTTAGGATATTTAAACAGCTTTTCACTGTGTTGGTGAATAAGTGTGATTACGGAAATGGATCAAAGGGTGGTGAAGTTAGGTAAGGGCTGTAGACAGTCCACGTGATACGAGTTGAGTGACTAGGGGTGGGGAAACGATGGGTGGGGGTCAACGTGTTGGTGGTTGGAATAGTCAGACAATCAAGTGTTCTTGGTATGAGTCAGGATTACAGGGAGTTGGTTGGAGAATCATAGGTTGGTGGTTGAGTATTTGGAGGGTTGGAGTTAGAGGGTCAGGGTGTGAATTAGAGGTTAAGGGCTTGGAGTATCAAGTTTGTAGTCGGGAGCAAGTTACAGGACCAGTGGGAGTCGGGGAAGGTGGTACGTTTGGCGGTTGATAGGGCAATAGGGGAGGGGTATCAGAGGAGGGAGTCAGCTGTTTAGTTACTCAAGATTTGGACATGATTTTAATCTGTCTTTTATTTCCAGGATAATTATCCAGCAAAGTAGGTCAGAATTGTTTGAAGAGAGTCAGACATTTTTAAAGAGTCCCAGGTGGCAGTGTAATTTTGGATGCAAAATCAAATTTCCCCAGCAATTCCCACAGGAATGCTATGGATCCTATGCCTGGTCTTTGACTATCTGAAAACCAGAAAACTTGGGTCACCATTTTTCGGAGCATGAGAGCATAAATTCAATTTTGCACGAATGCCAGGCAGTAACATTACAGTCTGCAAAAGATGACAACCAGTTGGCATTGTGATTTCCTCCAATAAATTCCAGAAACTTTACACTCACTTAATGTACTGTTCTTATGTGTCCATTATGCAATTAATTTATATATCAAAGTTCGCCATGATATTTTTATCTTAAGAAACACTGTCCTCCCTGGTATCTTGAGAACAATATGAAATAAATTGATAGCATGGATAGTATTATAATGCTTGCAGGGATCCATAAATGGAAGAACCAAATTTACTGAATTGCCCCAAAAAAAAGCAACAAGGTTTGAATTTTTGTAACTTATAATTTAACACAAACAGAAATGAGTATGTATTAAATTTAATAAGCAAATCACAAGCAGTATGGACTATGTTTTATCTGCAATTCTATGTGCATGTCAAAGATTATCTCATGTTAATAGGTAGTCCACCCAACTATATGCTCCCATTGTCAGCCACTTAATCCATCAAGCAGAACTCCAGTCCCTTTCTGTCAAGCACTTAGCTGATAGTTCACAGACAGTGGCTTATTCGTAAACAGACCTCAACGATGGAATTTTTTCTATGTACTGCATTACATTCTGAAACCTTCTAATCTCTCAGCACCTGCTGGTCATGATTTCCTTTCCATTGATGCTGTTTCCAGATCAAG